GAGTAGCTATGATTTTATTTTTTATTTATTATTTGTATATTCATACCCGTTGGGTAGGGATGTCTGTCCGTTTGAGTTTAAAGCATACACATTATATGTAGGTATAATATACACAGACACACAAACACGTGCATACCAAATTCACATACACGCACAAATATATAGAAAAATGTATATATTTCGATATATATACAAAGCATGAAAATATATAATTATATATATATATAGAATATATATATATTATATATCTTATACAGTATATCTAACATAATATGATATATATGTTATATTATATTATATATATATATATATATATATATATATGTTATATATGGGGGCCGGAGGGTCCGCAAGCGCACGGGTTCGATTCCCGGCCACGTCCCTTCATGGGACAGACCGGTCCTAGCCCTTAAAAAAGGGAGTTACCATTGTACCCACGGGGGCCGCCGTGGTACAGTGCGGCTTTGCGGCTTTGGACCAAAGGGTCCGCAAGCGCACGGGTTCGATTCCCGGCCACGGTCCGAGGTTAGGAAGGGCATCCACTCGGGGTGACGGTCTACACCTGCCAATACCTGCCACAGCGGGGTGCAAGCCAGCACAACTCAGTGCCAGTCCCAAGCCTGGATAAAGGAGGAGGGTTGACGTCAGGAAGGGCATCCGGACATAAAACACTTCGCCAATCTAATCATGATGCAGACACAGATAGATAACGGATCCGCACCGGCAACCCCGCACAGAGAACAACCAGCAGAAGATATATATTATATATATTATATATATTATATATATATATTATATATATTATATATATTATTATATATATATATATATTATATATATATTATATATATTATATATATATTATATATATTATATATATCATATATATTTATATATATACATATGTATATATATATAGATATACATGTGTGTGTATATATATATTGTTATGCGCACATTATTTTGTGAACTGTATCTGGTAAAAACGTAAAATTGTAGAAACACAAAAAAGCGTCGAAAATCGAAAGGCATCAAGAATTAAAATGCAAGGCCAGAGCGTCAATTAGGTCTTAAAGTAATAAGAACCACTTTTTACAGTATTTTCCTTTTATTAACTATCATGGAGCCAGTTTCAGTGGATATAATATACATGATCAGTATTATTTTGATAATGTAATGATAATCGTAAACGATAATAATAGTAATGAAAGCGATGAGAGGAATACTACTAATTGTAATGATTGATATAGTAACAATTACAATGATAATACTAATAGTAGTGATTATAATTAAAATAAGAATGATAAAATTTTTGAGTTATAATTTTTATATATTCATTATTAATAATGATATTATGATTACTTTTGCTATGATCATTATTAATATTGTTTTTATTATACTATATCGTCATCATTCTTCTTATTACTATTATCATCATTGTTGTTATCATTATTAGCCTTATCATTATCATGATTGTTAAAAATACTATAAATATTAGTTTAACTATTGTAATTATCATTACTAGAATATGATTGTTTTTAGTTATTATCAGGATCACCATTATCTCTATTATGATTATTATATTATCGCTTTAAACACTTATTTGTAAACATAATATACTACATATCTTCATGCGTTAATCTTGGTTAGACATTACATATTGTGCCTGAAATAGGACTTGCTAATCAGCCTGAAAACGCATGAGTTTATATGTATGCTTTATATAAAATGACAAATACATCATAGCTCAAACATAATGTTGAATATAGATGTTGATTTAAACTTCTTTCAAGAATGGTCAAAGGAATTTATAGTTAATTTCCTCTCTCTTTATGAGATGCTATACTGGAAATGAAAACATAGGGAAATACTGCAGATTATGTGTCATATATATATATATTTTTTTTAAATGGGCAAAAGTTTCAGCCAGGAAATGGTATATAGAACATATGCAAATCTGACAATCTGTATATACTTGTTTACAGATATGTGTACACACACACGTGTGTATATGTGTATATCTATATATTATATATATATACAATAAATAAATATGCATAAATGATTAATATATACATGATTATATATGTATATAAATATCTATATATACATATATACATGTATATGTATATGTGCGAACAGGTATGTTAATATATACGGTTGCGAATATATGTGTTTGCAATTTTATATATATATATATACATAAATAATATATAATACATATATACAACATACATGCACACACAAATACATATATATAAATACATGCACACACACATATATACATGTGTGTGTATTTGTGTATTTATGTATGTATATGTATGTATATATATAAAATGTATGTATATATATATATATATTTATATATATATATATATATATATATATATATATATATATATATATATATATTTATATATACAGGGAAAGTGATAGACATGTTAGCTAAATCTATAGATGTGTGTGTGCATGTGTGTGTGTGTGTAAATATAAATTATATATGTATTTATGCGTATATATACATATATAGAGTGAAGAAGACGTGTATGTAATTATTCATATTTATATATGTTCATAAAATACATTTATATATATATATATATATATATATATATATATATAAATGTATATCTATATCTATCTATATATTTATATATATATATATATATATATATATATATATATATATATGTATATCAATATACATACATATATATATGTGAGTGTGTGATTATACCTACCTATCTAAATCTATAATTACCTATTTATATATACATATATATGTATATATCGGTATCTATGTGAATATATATACACACATTAATACATATAAATACATATATATACATACATATATATAAATATATATGTGTATGTGTATATGTGTGTATATATGCAATCATATATGTGATTATAAATGTAAATACACATATATAAGAATACATTTTTTTTTCTTTAGTGCCAACTTAGCAAGTGACCACACGCAACGTTATTTACACTTTTCCGGGTATTCCTTTGAGATCTAATCACTGATTGAACTTGGGAGAGGTACTGAAGTATATGTGTGTTTGTGTGTATGTGTGTTTATTCAGTCACAAAACAGTTTCTCTGATATACTTATTTTTATTACTTGAATTATTATAAAGGTGTAAGGGCGCGTCTATCCCTGTCATTACGATGCATTGGTAGCACAATAGCCTGATATTTCTTCAGTTTTGATCTAATTTTCAGATTGTTACTAATTAACTGTCAAGGATTATTTGATGAGCAGCCAAATGATTCCGGGAGGTCAATAAAACAGTTTCTGAATGCGATGATTTACTTTGTTTCAATTACACACAAGTAAGACTTCTCCAAGAGTGTTGCCTTGTTGAGTCGTTAATTTCACTTATTGGTCCATGCCTCCAGTCCCATACGGGGTACGCTCCTACAAAACACCAGAGGGTTCTCTGCCGACACCACCTCGAAGGGACGCTTCTGAACCACCAGCAGTTCAGGGAATGCGTCGCACATGATGGCCGCAAGAGTCGTACTGTGCAATGCTTTCAGTTGATCTGTCACAGAAAAATATATCGTTAAAAATTGAATTTGAAAAGGAAAGTTAGTTTATGATAAAAACAATTTCTTAATATCCATTCATAATTTCTGTTTGCTTGGTATTGAGAACAGCGATCAGTGGAACTTACCATCGTCGAACTTAGTATCGTCGACATGGGTCTCGTACCAGTACCTATCTGCCTGGCGAATTCTGGAGAACTGCTCAGCCAGAACGCAAGTCAACGTGGGTCCCAGCTCTCCACCGGGGACTGGTCGTTCAAAAGCTGCACCGATCAAGAGATCAATGTCCCTTACGTCGCTGCGATCAAAATTCTTGGCTTGAGACGCTTGCATTAGTGGTGGCAAAGACTAGGGCCTACATCATAACAATAATAATGATGTGCCTAAATAATAAAAGCAATAATTATGACAGTCATAAGTGATATCAAACATATGTCTATATAATATTGATAAGAATAATGTCAATAACATAGATAACAAATGATTGATTCCCTATCTTAAAGTCTTTAGTCATTAGCAAAAAATATCTAACTAAATTTCATAAAAATTAAATCATACTTGTACACTTACTTGTACACACTCTGTAGGCGGTCAATGATTTTTTGGTCCATGATGTTGGTTAGGTCTGCGAAAGTGTTGATATCGTTGATCTTGCAGGCCGCTTGCACTGCCATGTATCCAGCCAAACCGTGCTCACGCCCACGCTGGATGTTCAGAGCCAATAAGTCGATTCCGAGAGGCTCGTGGCTAGCCGTTATCTGGGGACAGGGAACGGTGTATTTTAGCACATATATGTAAACAATTCAAGGCTTGTTTTATTGTCATTAGTCCTATTTGCATTTTCCATTAAATATATCTTTGCAACTATTCTTCTTTTCTGCCATTTTCTTTCATGACAAGAATCATTGTTACGGGTCCTGACCTCCTTTGTAAAGGCCAGTTTGCCGGCATCATTCCGACTGAGGCCACGAAGCACGTCGGCAGGTGCAAACTCAAGGAACTTTTCAATATCTATTCCTTTACCCTCTAATTCAATTAGGTACTGAGGAGAAAAAGAGCAAGAAATAATCGTCGCTGCAAACATTTGTAAATAGGAATATGTGTGTGTGTGCATCTATCTGTTTATAACCATGTGTCTTTATAAATAAGCTCAATATACACTATTAATATTTACACTGAACACGGCACAGAAAATCAATTCTTACAAAAATGATCGTACACCTGTTTACACTGTGAGGAAAACTTACCGGACTCTGGCTCTGGCTCAAGTGGAGGCTCGCAGTTTCGAACTCGGAACTAGTCGCAATAGTCTTGCTAGCACTGTAGTCCTCTCTTCTTTGTGTCCCAGTGAGAGGCGTCAGCTGGTATTCAGTCATCGCCTGTGGTCCTACAAATAAATTTCAGTTGATTATTCACACAAAAGCATTATCGCCTAGCCCTGGTTAAGCCCACAGGAATCCATGATACACTCTACCCTGAAAATAAACTGAAATTCTCTCCCTTGGTACTTCAAAGTACATACCGAGGAGTTTAGGAAGATATTCGTTGTAAACGACTTGCTGTAGTTGGGCGACTACGATCCTGCGGCTTTCCTGGAAAAGCGTCTCATCATCCCAGTCCACATTGGTTTCCTTGAGGCGATCTGCTATGTTGTTGTGGTAGCGAGTGACCATGTGATAGATCACTTTGACCAGGGCCTCAATATCTGTTGGTACCATGCTAAGTGTTATCTGCAGTAAATGTGTCTTAACTTCATTGCGACAATCCACAACACACTTATAGTTTCACTCTACTTGTAGTTTCTCTATACATTTCTTTGGTATTTCCTAAGTGCCACGTATCGAAAAGCCAACAAATACAAACTAACTCTGTGAGATCAAATACTGGGAATCCACACTTTCGCCAGTAACCTGGAAAGACAGATAACGATTGGTAATTTTGTGGGAAGATTAAGCACTATATTACCTACCTACAGTGCCATCTTCAGATACAAGCATTTCCAATCAGAAATTCACGTTTAACAATATTCAGATAATTATACCTTGAGCAATCTGTATTTTTGTACTACTTTATATTATGGACACAAAAATTAATATATAAAAAAAAAAAAAAAGAATTTGTAGTTACATAAATAAATTGACAGACAGATACATATAATACATAGATAAATAGATTGACTACCTGGTACATTCTCCTTGTGTAAAGAAAGCAAGAATAACTAGGAAAGGCAGATGCATCAAAAACGAAGCGAGGAATATAAGACTATTCACAGAAAGAAACCTATCAAAATTCGCCCAATAGAATAAAGAAAAGAGAAAAACAAAATGTATTTCAGCAAGGAAATCAGCTTGTAGGAACTGCCATGCCAACCGTTACATGCAGATGGCCTTTGTTGAAGGTGCGGCGTGAATTGATGGTGTGTTGGTCGGAGCCGTAGACCGTGGAGGCATCAAGGTAGGCGGTTGCCACGTTCATCTGATCCCTCGGGCCTGAGAACGAGCACGCCAGGGAGCACAGTTAAAACGTGTTCATTATGTCTTATAAATCGATATTTTTTCTTGGGAGTAGATATTTTCTCTGTATTTTATACTAGTGCTTATATTATCCAGGGAATGTGTAAATAGAAAATAAATGCTACATAGGATAATCTTCAAAACAACCAAAAGTACTAGGTGAAAAACGATCAACGCCCAAAGGGACAAAAGCAATAAAATAAATAAATAGAAATAATAACACCTAATTTTCCAATCCAATCATCTACACCACAAGCAAAAGCAACATGAACGCACGAGCAAGCAAGAGCCCGAGAGCATATCTGCCGACCTACCGGATTCGCATTTCGGTGCAGGGGCTGAGCGCACCACCTCCATGCACTGCTGATCGAATTCGCTGAAGAACGTGTCCTTGGCAGAGATGCTGACGCTGACGCACTTGGAGTTGATAATTGCAGTGACGTTATCCCGGGACTTTTGGCAGCACGAGATGGTTTCGTTCTTAGCAGCTAAGGAACGGTAATAGAGGTTAGTGTTGATAGTATAAGAGAATATTGGTGTTATTGGCATTAGTAATAGAGTAAACGATATTAATGATATTCAGAATATTACATTTAATGACATTAATTCTATTGGCGTGAATGATAGAGAAATTACAGGTTAATAGTAATTCTAAATTATTAAAATGATGTTGCTGTTTATGTCAAAAGTCACTCATAAGTATATTTCTTATTATTATTACTGCTCCTGATAATATATGAGATATATAAAAAATACGATTAAACTTGTCTGTATTCAGAAACAGCAAAAGACATTAAAGAGTATTCATAAATTTATTCAGTGAGGAAGCCTTGAGCCCCTTACCTGCAACCAAGGGCGTGGCGGCGAGGTCGAGGGTCACGAAGAGGCCGAACAGCTTGTGCAGATATGAGGAAGAGGACGGAGAGCTGGGCAGTCTGTCGACAGTGCGGCTGACGAGGTGGGCGTTGGGCAGCTCGCTGGCGTCGCTGGCTTTACGCGGGATCGAAATGCCTGAGGGAGGAGGAGGGAGGGTTCGGAAGGGAGTTTTCTCTCTCTCCTTCTCTTAATTATATAGCCTATATATATATACATATAAACGTGTGTGTAAGCGCACGTGTGGTTGTACGCGCACATGTGTGTGTTCATTTGAAAATGCAACAAAAATATCCTGTAAAATGTACATGCACTAGCAATGAGCGCCAAGCTCACTTCACGTGTTATGTGCAAGCGAAGACAGGTCTACCCACCGTCACCATACTCGTAACCAGCCAGGCGTCGGTAGGGCTTATAAGCGGATCCCCAACTCAATTTATGCAGGTTGTTGCACGTGCCATCGCTGGACCGGTAGTGCAGGAAGTCGTTGCAGAGGGAGGAATTCTCCTGCTCGGTATTGCAAAGCAACTCCCAGTTGACCGGTATTCCGTAGTTT